CTGTCAGTCAGTATTGACTGCCCGCTGCGAAGGAGCTCTGAGCTCTAGCAGTTAAAGTCACGGGTGGTTAGGATTGGGGCATCCGTCAGCCTAGCGGGCTGCCGCGCGAAGGAAGTGGCTAGCGGTTAAAGTCAGGATGGTATAAACGGGCATAGCTGGCACCTCACCAAACATCCTTGGAACAGCCTCGGAGCAGCCATTGGACATGGACCAGGCTCCAGTGGTGCACCCTGATAATGGGGCTGGGCCTGGCCTGCCAGGCAGAGAGCCCTGGGAGTGGTTCAGCTGAGGAACCAGAAAGGGATGAAAAGCCAAGCCCAAGGAGGGCAGAAGGAGGTTTACTTTTAGTGTGGGCTTTAGCAGGGAAGAGCCTGGTGTGAATCTTGTCCCCTAGAGAAGGGTGAACCTAGAGAGGTTGTGGGCAGAAGACCTGGTAAAAGGCTGTGGTAGGAATAGGGTTGCCAACCTTCCAGGATTGTCCTGGAGTCTCCAAGAATTAAAGATTAATATTCAATTAAATATTATGTCATGTGATTAAACCTCCAGGAGTACGTCCAGCCGGAATTGGCAACCCTAGGTAGGAAGAAGCCCAGGGAGGCAGCAGGGGAAGGCTGGAATAGGCAGACTTTCCCTGTAGCAAGCAGGCACCTGGTCTGGGACCTGGCGGAGTGGGAGAGCCGAGGTTCCCTACCAGCCACCAGAGAAAGTAGCTTGAAGCCTCCCAAATAAGGTAAGGACATTGGAAAGCCCTGAGCCAAGAGGGTGCAAGGACCATGGTGCTCGTGAGGACCTTTTCGTAAGGACATTTGGACTTTGGACTTTGTTACTCCGAAAGGGGTGGGACTGAATCATGGCCTGGCTGGAAGGCCTAGTTATAGGGAGAGAGACCCGTGGTGAGCTGGAGCAGCCATCCGTCAGCAGGGAGCGCTGGAGAGGAGAGAACTGCTACACTGTGCCCGAAGGCGTGGTAGTGGAGTGGTGACTTGCCTGCATTAGGAAGAGTTTGCCAGTATAGCTTTTCTGGGATAGCTAGACCGGCAAAGTCCCCTCGAGCAGTGGTTCTCAACCTTTTTGGGCTCAGGATCTGTTTGAAAATGTTTCTGGCCTGTCACCACCGGTATGTTGTCGGGCAGTGGAAGCCCTGGGGCAGAGCTGTAACTAGGCATTTTTGGGCCCCGGGGTGAGCAAGCGGCTTTGCCCCTGCTGCCACAGGAGATGCTGGAGGGAGCACACAGGGTCACGTTCTCCCCCCCCTAGATTTTTTTGGTTGTGTCCCCCCAGCCCAGAGAGGTTGGGTGGCCTGCTGAGATGAGCTCCCTCCCTGAGCCCTGCACCACCTGTTGTCGCCGGTCCAAGCTGCCCCCACGGCTTTGCACCCTGGGCAGCTGCCCTGCTCACCCCACCCTGGTTATGGCTCTGCCTGAGGTGGCTTCAGTTGGATCCTGCCCCCCGGGGGGGGTTGGGTCCTGCCTGGCACTCACCCCACAATGGCGGCTCCTGCAGCTCCTGTGCGTGACATCCGGGGCTGGCTGGGCTTGGCTCTCCGCTCCAGGCGTGACATCCGGGGCTACAGTGACACTCCGGTTTGGCCATGCCCCCCCAACTGGATCCAGTGTGTGTGAGTGGAGCTGTGACCTGGCTCATGGGGTTGCAGTGCCATTCACTCACACGTGGCCTACCCCCAGCTCCTGTCGTCATGGCGTCTGGGCCACTCCTGAGTGGCGCTGGGAGCCCAGAGGTCCAGGGGACAGGAGCTGCCACGCCACCCTTTGAAATATTCTGGTGCCCCAGTTTTGGGTCCTGACCGACAGGTTGAGAAACCCTGGCCTAGAGGAGTCTCCTTTTATACAGGCCAAAGAGGTCTTATAGCAGCTCTGTGAATGAGATAAGTGATACTGGCCAAAGGGCTATTTTGATGGTGTAGCTGCATCTCCACTAGGGCTTATGCTGGCATAGCTGTGTTGGCCAGGGAGTGACTTTCCCCCACTCTCCTCACTGACACAGCTATGCTGGCAAACCCTTGAAGTGCAACCCAGGCCTGAGACAGCTGTAGAGTAGGGGATTACTCAGCCGTGAGCGAGGGCCCCAGTGATTAGCTGAGGTGCAAGTAGAGAGGGGAACTGTCTAATCCTCTTGAGCTTTCACAGGAGCTGGTGGGCTGGAAAGTGCCAGTGTTCAGAGGCTTCTTACCTTTGATCATCAGCCTCCAAGCGTCCCCCCACCCGGACAAATGTTGGTAAATCTCTTCACTGTGGTGAGTGGGAGAGCCCTGCTGGTGCACAGGGCTAGCCTCCTTTGCCTAGGCTTTGCTGCACCTTTGTGCAGGCTCCACAGACTCCTGCTGCTCTAAAATGGCAGCTCTGATACACGACCCGCTGGGCCCCACCAGCCAGCTCCGATCAGAGGCTGAGGGAACCCACGGGGGTTCACTGCAGCAGCGCTCAGAAATCCCAGCTGGTGCCCCTGGAAATTGGTAAAAACAGGGCGTTTCACCTCCCAGCATGTGATTAGCAAAGGACTAAGTGAGAGAGAGTGAAGCCACCCAGTACAGACACAGAGGGGAACGTTTTAAGGCATCGTCATGTGAGAATTGACTCTGCAGAAAGAAGCTGCTCGTGATGTCCTGGCGGAATGTGCTTCCTGAGCAGGATATACTTCCTCGGAAACTAATCTGCACCGAAGCGCTCGGCGTTGCATGGCTAATGGTGATGAGCGTGACCGTTCAGTGCGAGTCATTCATCTTTAGCCAGAACTCACTCTGGCCTGGGAGCCTAGGGCAGAAGTCCACTTAGCCATCTATTAAATCTCCTTTCTCGGGGCGATACCACATGTTAGCTGTGTCACGCACTCCTGATCCAAGAAAGAAAAAAAAAGAGAGGTTGTCTTTGGTTAAATGCTTCAATCCCACCTTTAGGGCTAGAGTGGAGTGAATTTTTTTGGCTGACTGTTTACCCAAAAATGCAGTTTCAGTCAAGCCAAAACTATTCCCGAATTGGACAGACACTTGCTGATAGTTTGGCCAAATATTTTGTTTCAGGATTTAGGTGCTCTGCAAATAACGGCGGGGGGGGGGGGGGGGGCAGCACTGGCTCCCTCCTCCCCTTTAGCCCAGTGGTTAGGGCACTCCCCTCGGATGTGGGAGAGTGCGGTTCAATTCCCTCTTCTGCCCGATGGGCAGGAGAGATTTGCACTTGGATTTCCCACATCTGGGAGCGAGCCCTAGCCACTGGGCTGGCATATTCTAGGGCAGAGCTTTCCTAAGCTCTCCTGTTGCAGCTGTTCCACTTTGTATAAAATATATGACTAGTCATTGGGCCAGAGCAAACCAGGCTGAGAGTGACTCTATAGCCAGATGGTCAGGGCGTTCATGTGGGGAGCGGGGAGATCTTGCGTTCCTGTCCCTGCTCCAATGACAAGAGGAACTTAGTAAACCATTTCCATTGCACGAGAAGGAACAGAATACAGCCCTGCACGTGCTTTGCCTTGTTAGCTCCTGAAGGGCGCTGTAACATGTATTTCCATCACTAACCTGAGCGCACACAGAGCACTGACTATGCACAGGGAACAGGGGTGATGCGTAAGAAGTGCTGTTTATACGTCATCACCTTTCAGAGTGCCCTTTGAGGTGATGTGAAGGCTGGAAAGACATCGCACTAAGCTAAGGGGGAAACCTTTTTACCATCCCAACAAACCGTGGAAAGGCAGGAAAATCTGAGTGAAGGTTAAACTTCATTTCCTTAAATGTATGAAATCATTGAGTTGAAAGATCAAACACAACCTCAACTCTGACCCCCGTTATCACTGGCCAGTGCTGCTTTCCTGTGTAACGGTAGCTGACACTCAGAACACGTACATTGATGGTTCCATGTCTCTTCGAGTCCAGGTTCATCTTTAAGATAAGAAAATGGGAGTTTTGCTATTGAGTTTTGTTATGGGACTTAAGTATCTGCTTTAATAAATGGGAATGGACTTAGGCACACTCCTAAGTGCTTTGCTGGACACGTGGGCCCATACTTTGCCATTTGTTTCCCTGAGGACTTTAAGAAGTCGTTATGTCTGCTGTGGTGTAACAGCAGGGTCTGTGATACCCTCAGATCTGGCAATAACCTCCTAGCAAGTGGTGATTGGAAAGGGTTAAATCTGCTAGGTGTGAAGGAGCAATATGGAAAGACAAAGTGAGTCTGATGGCCTGGAAGGTGGATGAAGTCTAGAAGGTGACGTGTTGGTGTAGCTCTGCCCTCGCAGGAGGGTGAAATGGAGTCAGCGTCCATAATGGAGGTACATATTCACCTGGAGCGTGATGTTAAAGGTGTACACTGACAACAGCACAACTCGGTGGGCATCCCTGGTAGACGTTTCCATGAGCAGCATGTAACCCTTGCTTGTTGTAGGTTATCTCATGAATGGGAGTTGAGATGGTTGGAATAGAAGGGGCAGTGTTCAGCTTTTGTTATGCATCCTAGCTCACGAATATATACATTTGTGGTGTATTGAAAAGTGTTAAAATTGTGATCTATAACTTTAAATTCTCAGAGGTTTCCTGGTCCTGCTTGCAGGCCAGGGGCTCTATAGGGAAGCGTGCAATCAGAAGGAGCCAGCCTGGGGCAAGGTGGGGAAAGCTATACCTCTCTGCCATAGGGAGCAGTCTGCTTTTTCTCTTTGTTTTTGGATTCTTGTGTGTGGTTGTTCTAGATTCTAAGAAATAGTCTTATTACATTGCAGCCTTCCAGCAAGATGATTTATGGCTTTATCTAATTTTTCTGTTCATGCTTTGAAACGTAACACACACAGAACTACGTTGTCTTGGTCTTTCCTGTGGTGAGGACTTCAGGAGCTCTAAGAGCTAGTCTTTATATGTTAACATGGTTTTAATTGAAGATATAGGTCTGTCATGCTCAACCACATCAAGTTTTTCTGTCCTGCTAGTCCTCGGTGCAAAGATTACTGCATGTGAGGTGGTGATCAGGCCCATACATTTCCAATGAAAAAAAAGAGAACTGTTATTAGTTTTCTTGTTTTTATTATTTGGGATTTATTTATACAGATTTTTGTTTGGTTTATTTTTAACAGAATATCCATAACAAAGATCAAATCGGTTGACTACAATGCTCCAAATTCAGTGCTCCAGCTGGGGTGAAACTTGATTGGGTGGTGGTGGCTCAATGATACTTTCAAATGGAAAATGTGTTCACGTTCAGTGTATTTGAAACACAGTTTAGACACTGACAGATTGACTTAGGCAGAACAAATACCATTCTCTATTTCCAATCAACAGGCTGCTAGGATGACATTCTATCCCTCACTTAGAACACCACTTGGTACTTCTGTGACAACTTTCATCCAAAGATCTCAAAGTGCTATCTAAATATGATGCACCAGACACTCTCACACTACAGTGATGGGCACCATAGTAGTACCAAGGTAGAAATCTTATCCCCATTGCACAGATGAGAAAACTGAGGTACAGAGAAGAACCTTGCCCCAAGTCAGATGGTGAGTGAGCAACACAGCAAGAAATAGAAAAGGAGTACTTGTGGCACCTTAGAGACTAACCAATTTATTTGAGCATGGAGCTCACGAAAGCTTATGCTCAAATAAATTGGTTAGTCTCTAAGGTGCCACAAGTACTCCTTTTCTTTTTGCGAATACAGACTAACACGGCTGTTACTCTGAAACACAGTAGGAAATGGAACCCAGAGGTCCCATTAATATTCTGAGCACTACACCATAGCATTATGGCATGAATCATCTGTAACAATCAAACAAGCTTTAAACAAAGCTTTCACAAATATTCTGAATTAATTGGAGACCAAATCAAAACATGGAACAAAAAAACACTTTTCTGCTATTTAAAGGCAATATGCTCTGAATAATTTTTGAGCTCACCGCCATAAGTTACTTACTGGGACTGTGCTCAGGAGAGCCCTACATTCCCTAAGGCCTGGAGCTGCACCCGGTCTCCAACCCCGTAGTTACTCTGCCTTGGATTTGCTCGATTTGCTCACTCTTCCTTTTTTGCAGAAACACTTCCGGCAGCAGGACAGGCAGCACTTCAGAGAGATGAACGCGGTGACGAGCACGACAGCCAGGAGAAAAGCAATGACATCCAGAGAGTGGTACTGGATCCAGTTGAGATCGTGGGCTGCAGGCCGCAAATGCGGGGCCCCCTTGTGTCTCATCACAAACTCCACCCAGTACACCGCGAGATCAAGGGGATGGATAGGTCTGTCGAGGTGAAGGGCTGAGAGATGCATGATATTTTCTTTATAGCTACAAAGAAAAGAAATAGAATCATAGAATATCAGGGTTGGAAGGGACCCCAGAAGGTCATCTAGTCCAACCCCCTGCTCGAAGCAGGACCATTTCCCAGTTAAATCATCCCAGCCAGGGCTTTGTCAAGCCTGACCTTAAAAACCTCTAAGGAAGGAGATTCTACCACCTCCCTAGGTAACGCATTCCAGTGTTTCACCACCCTCTTAGTGAAAAAGTTTTTCCTAATATCCAATCTAAACCTCCCCCACTGCAACTTGAGACCATTACTCCTCATTCTGTCATCTGCTACCATTGAGAACAGTCTAGAGCCATCCTCTTTGGAACCCCCTTTCAGGTAGTTGAAAGCAGCTATCAAATCCCCCCTCATTCTTCTCTTCTGCAGGCTAAACAATCCCAGCTCCCTCAGCCTCTCCTCATAACTCATGTGTTCCAGACCCCTAATCATTTTTGTTGCCCTTCGCTGGACTCTCTCCAATTTATCTTTCAATTTATCTCCAACTCAAGGATCCTTCTTGAAGTGTGGGGCCCAAAACTGGACACAGTACTCCAGATGAGGCCTCACCAATGTCGAATAGAGGGGAACGATCACGTCCCTCGATCAGCTCGCTATGCCCCTACTTATACATCCCAAAATGCCATTGGCCTTCTTGGCAACAAGGGCACACTGCTGACTCATATCCAGCTTCTCGTCCACTGTCACCCCTAGGTCCTTTTCCGCAGAACTGCTGCCTAGCCATTCGGTCCCTAGTCTGTAGCTGTGCATTGGGTTCTTCCGTCCTAAGTGCAGGACCCTGCACTTATCCTTATTGAACCTCATCAGATTTCTTTTGGCCCAATCCTCCAATTTGTCTAGGTCCTTCTGTATCCTATCCCTCCCCTCCAGCGTATCTACCACTCCTCCCAGTTTAGTATCATCCGCAAATTTGCTGAGAGTGCAATCCACACCATCCTCCAGATCATTTATGAAGATATTGAACAAAACCGGCCCCAGGACCGACCCTTGGGGCACTCCACTTGATACCGGCTGCCAACTAGACATGGAGCCATTGATCACTACCTGTTGAGCCCGACAATCTAGCCAGCTTTCTACCCACCTTATAGTGCATTCATCCAGCCCATACTTCCTTAACTTGCTGACAAGAATACTGTGGGAGACCGTGTCAAAAGCTTTGCTAAAGTCAAGAAACAATACATCCACTGCTTTCCCTTCATCCACAGAACCAGTAATCTCATCATAAAAGGCGATTAGATTAGTCAGGCATGACCTTCCCTTGGTGAATCCATGCTGGCTGTTCCTGATCACTTTCCTCTCATGCAAGTGCTTCAGGATTGATTTCTTTGAGGACCTGCTCCATGATTTTTCCAGGGACTGAGGTGAGGCTGACTGGCCTGTAGTTCCCAGGATCCTCCTTCTTCCCTTTTTTAAAGATTGGCACTACATTAGCCTTTTTCCAGTCATCTGGGACTTCCCCCGTTCGCCACGAGTTTTCAAAGATAATGGCCAATGGCTCTGCAATCACAGCCGCCAATTCCTTCAGCACTCTTGGATGCAACTCGTCCGGCCCCATGGACTTGTGCACGTCCAGCTTTTCTAAATAGTCCCTAACCACCTCTATCTCCACAGAGGGCTGTCCATCTCTTCCCCATTTTGTGATGCCCAGCGCAGCAGTCTGGGAGCTGACCTTGTTAGTGAAAACAGAGGCAAAAAAAGCATTGAGTACATTAGCTTTTTCCACATCCTCTGTCACTAGGTTGCCTCCCTCATTCAGTAAGGGGCCCACACTTTCCTTGGCTTTCTTCTTGTTGCCAACATACCTGAAGAAACCCTTCTTGTTACTCTTGACATCTCTGGCTAGCTGCAGCTCCAGGTGCGATTTGACCCTCCTGATATCATTCCTACATGCCCGAGCAATATTTTTATACTCTTCCCTGGTCATGTGTCCAACCTTCCACTTCTTGTAAGCTTCTTTTTTATGTTTAAGATCCGCTAGGATTTCACCATTAAGCCAAGCTGGTCACCTGCCATATTTACTATTCTTTCGACTCATCGGGATGGTTTGTCCCTGTAACCTCAACAGGGATTCCTTGAAATACAGCCAGCTCTCCTGGACTCCTTTCCCCTTCAAGTTAGTCCCCCAGGGGATCCTGGCCATCCGTTCCCTGAGGTAGTCGAAGTCTGCTTTCCTGAAGTCCAGGGTTCGTATCCTGCTGCTTACCTTTCTTCCCTGCGTCAGGATCCTGAACTCAACCGACTCATGGTCACTGCCTCCCAGATTCCCATGCACTTTTGCTTCCCCCACTAATTCTACCCGGTTTGTGAGCAGCAGGTCAAGAAAAGCGCCCCCCCTAGTTGGCTCCTCTAGCACTTGCGCCAGGAAATTGTCCCCTACGCTTTCCAAAAACTTCCTGGATTGTCTATGCACCGCTGTATTGCTCTCCCAGCAGATATCAGGAAAATTAAAGTCACCCATGAGAACCAGGGCATGCGATCTAGCAGCTTCCGTGAGCTGCCGGAAGAAAGCCTCATCTACCTCATCCCCCTGGTCCGGTGGTCTATAGCAGACTCCCACCACTACATCACTCTTGTTGCACACACTTCTAAACTTAATCCAGAGACACTCAGGTTTTTCTGCAGTTTCGTACCGGAGCTCTGAGCAGTCATACTGCTCCCTTACATACAGTGCTACTCCCCCACCTTTTCTGCCCTGCCTGTCCTTCCTGAACAGTTTATAACCATCCATGACAGTACTCCAGTCATGTGAGTTATCCCACCAAGTCTCTGTTGTTCCGATCACGTCATAGTTCCTTGACATCACCAGGACCTCCAGTTCTCCCCTGCTTGTTTCCAAGGCTTTGTGCATTTGTATATAAGCACTTGAGATAACCTGTTGATCGCCCCTCATTCCCAGTATGAGGCAGGAGCCCTCCCCTCACAGACATTCCTGCCTGTGCTTCCTCCCGGTATCCCGCTTTCCCACTTACCTCAGGGCTTTGGTCTCCTTCCCCCGGTGAACCTAGTTTAAAGCCCTCCTCACTAGGTTAGCCAGCCTGCTGGCAAAGATGGTCTTCCCTCTCTTCAGAAATGTTTTAAATACTTTTTTATTTAGAAAGTTAGAAGATTATTTATATCTACAGAAATAAATTCCACAGAGATTCCATCAGTTAACTTTCTTCTCATGCCATATGCCCTGAGGGCTTTATTCCCCTTCTGTGTCTTAAACCCTGTTAAGAAAAGGGAGACACTTTACTTAGCGTCCAGGCTGTGAACTGAGGCTGGCGGTGTTAACATCGACAAAGAAAGCAGCCAGTAGAGAAGGTTTAAGAGGAAAAATCAGGATCTTCGTTTTGGCTATGTTAAGCTTAAACTTCAGGGGGGCCTCCGGGAAGAGGTATCTCGAGGGCAGGCTGAAATGTGGGACTTGATGGGAGGAGACCAGTCAGGGCGGTTTTAAAATCATCGGCCGAGAGATAGTAGCTGAAGCTATGCAAGCAGATAAGGGCACCCAGGGACATGGTGTAGAAGAGAAGGCCAAGGACCAAGCTGTGTGCATTCTGTGGGAGAGAGGCAGAGGAGACTCCTCAAAACTCCCCTTTGTTGGGTTGCCTACACAAAACTGAGAATAGCTAGGTAGTTGGGGCACTCGCGCTGCCTGGAAAGGTCACATTTGTTTCCTTGTCCGTCCCACGTTGCTATCTACCTGCTGTCTCTTGCCTTATATTTGTATTGCAAGCTCATTGGGACAAGACACCATCTTTCTGTTCTGGGTTTGTACAGCACTTAGCACCGGAGGGTCCTGGCCCATATCTGGGTCTCGGCGCTATGATAATACAAATAATAAAGAGCAATAATGTACTAAGATATCCAAGAGAGACCAGTCCCAAGAAAGCCCAAGGAGAGCAGTGTCCAGTAGAAGGGAATAGCCAATGGCACTGAAACAGCAGAAGAATCAAGGAGGATAAGGATGGAGTATTGGCCCCAGATCTGGCCAGCAGGGGGTCACCAGTTGCCTTGGGGAGGGCAGTCTTGAGTGGAGTGGAGAGGGTGGAAGCCAGACTGGCGAGGGATTGGAGGAAAGGAAGTCAAGACAGTAGCTATAAATCTCTGTTAGATAAATTTAGAGGAGAAAGGTGAAGAAAGAGTCAGCACTTGCAGAAATAGACAGGGTCTCTTGGAAGCCTTGAGAGTCCAGGGTGGGCTGCTTAATTATAGACAAACTATTAAAAAATGTCAAGTTCTCCTCACGCTGAAACCAATTGGCTCGTCCGCATTTACCCTGCTGTACCAGACAGCCACTCCAAATGTAACCTAATCTTGTGTGAGACAGCCAGCGTGGCAGGGTGAATCACCTCCACATGGCCCCTGGCAGTGAGTGGATCAAAATCTTTTCCTGGCTCCTTTCTGTACACGTTCCATCTGAGCTACCGTGCAAGCAAAGAGACCTCAATGGCCTGCCTTTCCTGCGTAATGCCCGGCTAAGCAGCGTTTGACTGGGCCTGGTGCTGCTGCTTGCGAACAGATAGAAAGATGAGTTGACTGAGAAAATTCTGGTCTATGTAGTAAATTAATGCTAGAGTTAGCTTCTATAAAACATGGCAGCTTGGCGATTTTAAGGTAATCCTTTAAGGACGTTCTGCAACAGAACCATAGCTTTGCTCGATAAACGCCAATGTATGGGAGTGACTATACAAATGAGATGACGTAATGGTGATATGGGCAGGACAGTTATTAATGCTTAGCCATCTTCGACGTTCCACAGCGTTTTGCTCATGTTCACTGTACATTACATCAAGTCAAGAAATCAGGCCAACCTCCCTCGAAAAACGTTCCAATAAAGCATTTTTGTTTGAAAACGTTCAGTGGAACCCTTGGGTTTTTTGATGAAAACTTGTGAAATGGAACAAACATTTCTCTTTTTGATTTTTTTTTCTCTTTTCTCTGCTTTTATCTCCCTTTCCTGCCTAGAAAAGGAGGGGAAAAAAGAGGACACCACCACATTTTGATTGCTGTCTTTACATTCTCCAAGAAGCTGGACGCTTTTGGCTTTAATCATGTGATGTACCTTGGAAAATTGCTTTCTTCCACTGTATATATGCCGCACCCACTTGCATCATCTCATTTGCGTACTCAAGCCCCTTCTAGATACCTATAATTAGAGTCCCTGATGAGGAAAGTCCTTTAGTAATGGGAAAAATACTAGCCCCCTGATGCTAATACACTGGTGTATAAATCCTGATTGCTGAGTGATACATAACATCCTTAATATGACAAAGGTAGTGCTTAGTGTTCAATTTAACTGGAAGCCAATGTGCCAGCATTATATTCAATAGCCCTAAAATGAAGATGCCACATTTATATCTCCTGTTACTGACCTTTTATCATTAATCACTGCATTCAATGCATCCGATAGGTCCTTAGAAGTCATTTCAAGTACATTCAGCGTCACTCCCGCACCCCGAGACTCTATCCGCTTAGCATTGTCCATCTGATCTCCAAATAATGGCATCAGAACCATTGGCACTCCATTGCATATCCCCTCATAGATTCCATGTGAGCCTCCATGGGTGATAAAGGCACGGGCTTTGGGATGAGCTGTGAGGGAAAGGTAGACTTATTACTGTAGTAGACTGCTTGCTCAGACATCTCTGGTTAATTCTTTAAGCTGCAGGAGGCACAGTATTAGATGTGCTTTCTGTACAATGGCATCGGTGGTTATAAATATAGAATACAACAACACTGGAGTGCAGGTCACATAGGAATCGCTCCAGGACAATCTTCAGGATTACAATTATCAGTGATGGAGTGGACCTTAAGCTTAAACTTCAGCGAGACCTCTGGGAAGAGGTATCTCAAGGGCAGGCTGAAATGTGGGACTTGATGGGAGGAGACCAGTCAGGGCGGTTTTAAAATCATCGGCTGAGAGAAGGTAGCTGAAGCTATGCAAGCAGATAAGGGCACCCAGGGACATGGTGTAGAAGAGAAGGCCAAGGACCAAGCTGTGTGCATTCTGCGGGAGAGAGGCGGAGGAGACTCCTTAAAACTCCCCTTTGTTGGGTTGCCTAAACAACCCAACAAAGGGTTGCTTAAAGGTCTCAGAGGTTCCACTAGGTTTTGATAATCTTTGCAAAGCTTGGAATCGTCTGTAAAGCTTTTGAGATCTTGGAGTGAAATCCTGGCCCCACTAGAAATAATGAGAGTTTTGCCATTGACTTCTGTGAAGTCAGGATTTCACCCTTAGCCTTCAAACTTAATCTTTCTGTTCTCAGTCAGATCTTTCCTTTCCCTAGACTCATCTCTCTTCCCCCAAGTCCTGTCACCCTTACTCCTCCCCTCAATCTCTAACAAACTTTGGTCATTTTCCTGTTCTCCCTCGCAATTCTCAGACCTCTCACGGGACTCCCCATAAGCTCTGACGTCAAGCAGACCCCTCCCCATTCTGGCTCCTGTTGAGAGGTCTGCAGTCTCTCTCTGGGACCCAGTGCATTCTCCGGTTTGAATTTGGCAGGTCTTGGTGCTTCACCTGTCAGCCACCTCTAGCAGGGACTGTGGACTTCTGGGAAGTGCAAGCGAACACGGGAGCTGCATCGAATAGGACATTGGTTCCAGTGAGACTGTGGGATTTAATGAGATCACCAGAGAGAAGAATGTATTTGAGGTGAGGAAGAGGGTGATTTCCCTAACTAAGGTCTGGGAATGGCTCCAACATAAGGGTGAGTTTATTTTTACAGAATCAATATGTCCACTTCTAGTAAAGATCTAATACAGGGGTTCTCAATGTTTTTCTTTCTGAGGCCCCCCTGAACAGGCTATATAAACTTCCGGACTCAGTGGGGAAGGGGGAGGATTCGGGGCTCCAGGTCAAGGGTGGGCCCTCATGCATAGGCGTAATTTGACTTCTATTGGGGGTGGGGGGGGCAGGGGCTGGTGAGGCTTGGACCAGCTCTGCACAGCAGGGTCCAGGGAGGCAGCACCGTCTTCACCCCCTTACTCACCTCAGCAGGCCACCCAGCCTGTCTGGGTTGTGTTGTGGAGGTTCAGCTCAAAAAGTTAAAAAACTGGTGAGGGTGCAGGCAGGGGGCAGCTAGGGGCTCTGGGCAGCTCAGGGTGTATGTAGGGGGGAACTAGGGGCTCTGTGTGGGCAGGAGGGTAGCTCAGGGTGCAGGCAGGGGGGTAGCTAGGAGCTGTGTGCGGGTTGGGGGGTAGCTCAGGGTGTAGGCAGGAGGTAGCTAGGGGCTGTGTGGTAGGAAGGCTCCCCTGTGGTCGCTGCTCCCCAAGGGATCTGCCAGCCCCAGTGCGGGGTCACCCTACCTGGGCAGCTCTTACCGGCTGCGTGATCTGAGGAGCAGCCGCAACCCTGGGCACCAGCAGCAGACGGGGAAATGCCAGGGCTGCCTGCTCCATGGCACCAGCCAGAGCAGCAGCTGCCCTGCACTGCCCGACTCCAGCTTCCCATGTCTGACCTGGCCAGGGGGTGGGGCCTTGGGGGCGAGAAGAGGAAGTGGGGGGCATGGAGCTGCCCCCCGGAGTGCCGCATTCTGGGGGGCAGCCAGTGGGGGTGGCAGCCAGTGCTCGGGGTTTCAGCCCCGCAGTGGGGGGTGCCGGGGCTTGGGGTTTCTGTCACGGAGTCCCACAGCCCCCCTGAAAGGGCTCGTGGACCCCAGGGGGCCACGGACCCCCGGTTGAGAACCGCTGATCTAATAAACCCTATGTACAGTAGTTACCATGTGAATAAAACAAAGCTCAGTCTATAAGTATCTACCTGGGGGGAAAATGTCATCATCTAGCAGACAAAGGTATAACATGAGGTAATGGCTGGAGGATGAAGCTAATCAAAATTAGAATAGAAATAAGGCAGAGATTTGTAGCAGTGAGGCTAATTAACCAGTGGAACCCAAGGCTGTGTGCAGACAGCCCATAGCTGCTTCGGGGGGGGGGGGGTGGGTGTGCAGAGTGAAGGCAGCTGGCTTCAGCAGTGTTACTGAGCATGCTCAGTACAAGCCAAGCTGCAAAGGGGCGAGGGGTGGGCATATGACCCTGCATGCCCCCGCTCCCCACGCATTGCCTCTGTTGTAGGGGATTCTACGTCACTGGCCATTTTAAAATCAAGACTGGAGGTTTTTCTAAAAGATCTGCTGTGGTTTCAAACAGGGATTAATCTAAGGAAGTCCAGTGTTATACAGGAGTTCAGACTAGATGATCACGATGGTCCCTTATTCGTAGACTTTAAGGCCAGAAAGGACCATCATGATCATCTAGTCTGAGCATCACAGGTCACGGAATCTCACCCGGCCACTCCTGTAACACACCCATAACCTCTGGCTGAGTTACTGAAGTCCTCAAATCATCATGTAAAGGATTCAAATTACAGAGAATCCACCATTTACTCTAGTTTAAAGCATCGAGTGACCCGTGCTACAGAGGAAGGCAAAAAACTCCTAGGTTCTCTGCCAATTGGACCTGGGGGGAAATTCCTTCCGGACCTCAAATATGGCCATCAGTTAGACCCTGAGCATGTGGGCGAGACCCACCAGCCAGACACCTGGGAAACAATTTTCTGCAGTAACACAGAGCCCTCCCCCTCTAGTATTCCATCACCAGCCCTTGGGGATATTTGCTAATAGCAGTCGTAGATGGGCCAAATGGCTTTTTAGGCAATCTTATCACACCATCCTCTCCATAAACTTCTCAAGCTCAGTCTTGAAACCAGTTAGGTTTTTGTCTCTGCTGCTCCCCATGGAAGGCTGTTCCAGATTTTCACTTCTCGGATGGTTAGAAAATTTTGGCTAACGTCAAGCCTTAACTTTGCTGATGACCAGTTTATATCCATCTGTTCTTGGGCCAGCACTAGTGCTTAACTTGAATCCCTCCGTGGTATTTATCCCTCTGCTGTATTATAGAGAGGCCCTTCTGGCCTTGCAATCTACAAACCTATGGTATTTATGACTATTCCCTTAGAGCTTTATCAAATTCAAAGAAACCTACTTAATTGTTGCCAGTAGCGCCCTCTCCTGCCCAGACTTACCAAGTAGATCATTCTGTGGTAGCCATTTGATTAGCTTTGTGTTGTTTGCAAGGTTGGGGGGTGCTTCTCCAGTGTACCTCCAAAGAACCTTTGGGAAATGATAAATGCAGCATTAATATTAAGAACTTGCCTCTTACAGTTCTTCTGCTGTTGCTTCTTCCTGTAAACTGTGCTGTACAGCAGAGCAGATAAGCCCATGACGGACAAAATCTGTTTTGTGAAGGTTTGTGCTGAGCAGCGGAGATGGGGTTTTGTTTTGACATAAGAGGGGAGGGGGCAGGTTTTTGCTTATTGAAGCTATTTGTTGTGTTAAGTGTTATACCACACATAAGTAAAAAAAAAAATCAAATAATACAGAATCGTAACCAGTGACTCTATTCCAATATTGTATTCAACAGCTATGCTAGAGAGATTCTTTTCCTCTTACGGTCTGAGGTATTGTTCCAAAGGCTTCAGCAATCTGCTTGGCTTTCTTCATGGGAATCTCAGAGACCATTGAGCCCAAAGAGAAGACCACAAAGCCGTGTTCCCCAGAGGCATTCACAATGCTTTCAAATTCCTGCAAATACAAAGAAACCTCCAGTCAATGCTTTCCATTCGAATCCATGTCACAGGGCCATAATTCTGGTGCTTTGCAATCAAAGGGATCTCACCTTGACTAGCCTGGAAAGGAAATAATGTTAACAGGCAAAATAATTCACTGTGGTCTGATCCTATAAACATGTATGCATGCGATCGTCCTATGGGACAGCTCCTAAGAGTAAAGATTTTGTGTGCAAGTGTTTGCAGGATTGGGGCATAAAATATGGAAATAATTAAAGGTGTAGTGTACTAAATAAATAAAATATTATGAAAGAATTCAGGTTCTGTTCAGTAAAGGAAGGTGCAATGCAAACCAAGTCATATATTTCCTGGCACCCAAAAGCAGCTAAATGCATTGTTTTCTGTTGACACACCAAAGGTGTCAGGAAATTCAGGCTTAGGTCTGAGGTTTTTCTTTTCAAATCATACAGTTGTGGAAACACGGTTGGTGTTTTTAAAGCTTAATGACATAAACAATGGCTTGAAAAAAGAGGCATTTTTACATTCCTGATTTATTGGTTCTGTCTGGATCTTAAGAATATTGAAAATCCTGTAATTTAATTTTCTTTTAAATAAAAAAAAAGCTTTCACAGTTGCCTAGACATAGACAGGTGGAAGATTTTGAGACTCGTACCGCCCAGAAAGGGCTAAATAGGAATCTGCAACTACCTGTGATGACCTAAACAAAGGATTCTGACCAAGTGAAACGCTAACTGCAAGGGCAAGTGAACCAATAAATGTCCTATTTCTTACCAATGTTTTTTCCTTAAAGCCTGGGGAAGAGGGAATGCCAGAATATTCATTTCAATTCAGACCCCTTTCAAAAGTTTTCCAGGAGGCACTGATGAGTCTTGAAACAACATGGAGCGTGAAAGGCAAACTTGTTAAATAAATATTGAGTATAGTTACGAGTTGCCCTGTCAATCTACTGAGTCTAGCACATTTTTAACCATCTCATTCTCTGTCCCCCATCAGTATTCTGAGTTCCATGCTTCTCTATTACAACTACTTTATGTGAGGATGGTTCTTCATCTCTGAATGTCAGGTGGTTAGTCTGTCAAAATGAGGCTAGTACCCACCTACCTTGTATGAAAGCTGTCAATTAATGTCTGTCCTACTCTTAGCAAATAACTTCATGAAAGGTGCCACTCTAATAGTGCAAATATTATTGTATTATTGTATTATTATATTAAATAAATACCAATATTATTTGGTATGCTGGGTGACCCCACAAGTCTCGTGAAGAAACATATGAAATGAGAATATTCTAGACAGTAAAACACTAGCCTTCCATGTCTCATTTGTGGACAACTGAGGATCTCTCATTATATAAGTGACTACTTATGACTCTAAGAGAGGATGCTTTTCTAAGCCCTTCCATGCTGTCGCTTCCTTACTTTTATTTTGTTTTAACCAATAGAAGCATTATCTAATAGTGGGTGCTAGTAGGATAGTCCAGTTTTAATTGTAAAAAAGAACTAACCTGAGATAATGGTTTCTCCTGGCCACAGTTTATGCCTCCAATTAAAACCATGTTGGGCATCACAGGCCTCGGATACTCAAACACAAAGTCATATCTCAACAGCCAAATAGATGCATGACTTAAAAGCTCTGGCACTGTCAGATCTTGTTGAAGGAACTCCCAGATCAGATCTTCATGGGATGAATAAAGAAGGGAACAACTCAAGAACTCTGCTGAGCTGACTAAGACGTTCCACACACGCTGGGGAAATGCCATGTGGTCTGTATAGCTGGTGAAGAATTTGGGGACATAAGAAGCAGGGTTTGGACACTGGGTGGCCTGAAATTCGAACCCACAGGGAATTCCCCGTGAGAAGTAAACAGAAGGTAGGGACAAATATTCGGCTACTATTTGTCCACATAGAAACATAGGATCCATCAAGACAGCATCAAATGCACTGTCTTTGAGGTAGGTGATCAGCTCTTTGTTGGACAGAAGCTGTTTGCAGGAACTGAGTAAGTGTGCTGTAATATTTCCTATTCTTGCGAATGTTTTCGTGATCTTTTCCAGGAAAGGTTGAGGTGCAAATATATGATGCCCCAGTATTTTAAATTCGGCTTCCAAGTATTCCTTGGTGTACGGCACAGAGTATGTCTTCACTGTATAATGCTCCGATGGCTGAATCTGAACGCTTGCTTCTGGCACAACCGCTACTATTTCATGTCCTCTCTGCCAAAGCCGCCATACTACTGAGTGCATGCTGAACCAGTGACTGCCATCTAGGGGAATCATCAATAGCTTTCCCCCTTCCGAAAGGCTCCAGAGGGGCAGAACTAGTAGAAGCCAGGCAGGTAGGTGACGAACCCCTTGAAGCAGAGAAGCCATCTCCCTAGATGAAGACTTGTGCTGCAGTCCGTCAAGACAGGTTTTAGATGCATACTCAACTATTCCAGGCAACACAGAAATTGTTTTACTACCGGGCTTCCAACCCTTATTCCTTCATATCTTAAGCTAATGTTTGGTTTCCAATGAACTGTATGTTTACAGGAGCCTGAGTGAGGCATTTTTTAACTTTTAGCTGGTGAAAGGTTGGTTGTGCAATCTGGCTGGACAGCAAAGGAGCAGAAAAAATGGGAGCAATGTAGGGAAATGTTGGTTTCCTGGGTTTGGGCGTAATTTCAACATTAAGATGCTGGTGTGGGATGTTTCATTCCAAGATCTACTAGAATTGAGAATGTGAGAGAACACTTTGCCAGCATTGCATGTGGTTATTAACTTATGGTTAATTATGCATAGAACTGAGCGCATAATTGATTTTTCAGTTTTTTGTTTCCAGGTGTGTTTTTTTTACCCTTGTTTGTTTTTAAATAAATCTAGCTAAATTTCAAAATGAAACATCATTTTGAAATGAAAAATTGAAACAAAACATTTCAACTTTTGGGGGGAATTCCCCCCCCCTTTTTGTTAGTTTGAAACTATTTGCATATTTCAATCCAAATTCACCAAATTGCATTTGTTGGTGAATAAACTATTCATCCTAAAACTCCCAGCTCTAATTATCCACTCCCTGAGGTGACTCTGTGCAGGTCAATTGGACAACAGACGCACAAAGAAGCTGTACAGCTGCTCAAGGTGTTGGTTTTGTGCTTTCTGCTCCTGCTTTAAACAAAAAGATATTGAAAATCATTAAGATTCACTTGTTTGCTGTCTACCCCATAGTCTGTCAGACTCAGCTCATGGTGGAGTATCTTGGCAATGATCCAACGGATAAGGGTGTTTTGTTGGACCACAAATGATGCTAACTTTGTTACCTGATTATTAGTATCATCCTGACTGTTTGTATTATACTCCCTCTTACTGATTCTGTCATTAGGACACAGCTACGCCACCCCTGGGGAGGAACTCCAGTATTTCAGTTTGAGAGTGGCACATATTCTCATTATGGAGTGACCCTCGTCTCACCTGAGTTAAAGGTGAAACGAGATTTCCATTTATATTCCAGTGCTGATCATGACATGCATCCCCAGTCATTGCCCAAATGAAATACACTTTAAAATGTCACAAATGTGAGCCTGTGCCCAGCTGGTTGCTTTTTCAAAAGTCTGAAACAAAATGAGTGTGCTTCAAAAATGAGGTATTTGTGTTCCCTAGAAATGATCTTCATTGCCTCTGGCTCCTATCTCAGAAATGATTTATTAGGCTATGTCTACATTAGCACTAATTATGGCTGGAACAATCCCCTGGGGGCTATTTTTGCAGCCAAGGATCAACAGAATGCAGCATGTTCCTCTTACATCCCCCGACACGTCCCTATCTCCAAGCAGGCATCATAGAAACAGATATTCTGGTTTTGCAGCACTGGGGGAGTCTCTAAATGCCCCTCAGGCAGCTTGAAGTCCCTACAGCCTGTCCCGTTGTGGTAATTCCACATAACCTTTGCACAGATACCTAAAGCACCACATACCATTTTTTAAAACCCCATAATCCAAATGTCACAAGCTAAGCAAATCCCAGAGGGGTGGGGGGAACCCAAAAAACCTAAACTGTTATGACAGAGCTGATATTAGGCACCCGAAGCAGAGGGACGGGCGCAGAAGACTAGAATGCCGTTATTGTAAACAAAGAGTGGAAAGCTCAGATATTCTGGGTTAAAGTTACTCTTTTAACTCGTCCCATATAACCCTTTTGCCTCTTTTGATACGAAGGTATGGTGCAGGCACAATGGACGCTGTGGGAATCAGCGCCATGGGGACTCAGCTGCTTCCTTGTAAGAGTCTTTGATCAAAATGGCCCCACTTTTACTATGCCACCTGCAGCGCACAACTGGAAAAGAATGTATACAGCTCCAGCCCAGAGGCTCCAGAAGATGGAGCCAATGCGCTGGGAATAATAGGTTACAGCAAGCATGTCGGAGAATCATTTTCAATCAAGGCCTCAAAGGACCTTTACTTCCATGCTGTAGAAATTGTCCTGAAGCAATAACAATTGATTTAAGGACACTGACTATCCCTCCTCACTCACGCCTCCACTTTCTCATTACTTGAGTCAACGCTTGTGAGGTCATCAAGACCTTGGCTCATGTGTAATAAGCCATAAAAATGATGTTTTCACTTGGATCCCGTCGGATCTCACACACACACACAAGATAATAATTGAGCCTACAGAAAAACCCATTAAATAATTTTGTAATATTTTCAGCTTTTTAAAAATAACTTAGAAACCTTGGATAATGGTTTCTTCTGTTCACAGTTGGTGCCTCCTATGAAGACCATGTTGGGCATCACTGGCCTGGGATACTCAAACACAAAGTCGTATCTCAGCAGCCAAATGGATGCTTTGCTGAACAGTTCCAGTATTGTTACCTCTCTCTGAAGAAACTCAGAAGCCAGGCTCTCATATTGTGAATAGAACAGGTAACAAAGTAAATTCTCTGCAGCATTGACTAATAGGTTCTTCACGCGCTGGGTAAATGTCATGTGGTCGGAATTGGATGTGAAAATCCTCGGGACGTAAGA